TAGACTAGGAAGTACAATTGTTTCATGACGATGAGATTGAAGGGATATTGCTTTATGAGGGGGGGTGGTTGTACCTAAGTTACTCTGCCCTATTTTTTTGCTGTCGACGACTACACACTTGGCACACGGACTGGCTGGTATTGGGGAAATTTATTTATTTTCAGCCGCGCGCGCGCTGTGGAGATCCTTGTCACGGATCATCACGTTATTTCCGGCTTGATTACCCGGCCTCTGGTGTCGTTTTTTTAACCATTATCCATGCTTGATAACGGTCGGTACCGTGAATATGCCCTTCTCTACACATGCGTGGTAACTTCGTTCCCTCTTAAGTACTTGACTGCAGCTAAGGGCATAGGTACGTTTTTGAAATGCTGTGATCCGTTGGAGCCGTTGGCTGGCAGACTAGGAGAGAGGGGGAGAGGGGGAGGATGCGGGATTGCAACAGCCGGCGGTGGTCGAAACGACGACGACGCATGGACCGTAAGATGAACTGACGGGCGGGAGAGCAAGCGAAGGGAGATGATACATAGGGTGTTTTGACTAGGATTGCAGTGTGAACCTGGGAAACTGGGGACTTGGCTTTCCCCCCCTCTCCCCTTCGTCAACCCCCCTTTTCCAGTACATAGGGCAAATAATCCGACCCGGGGGTTTGACTGATACAGTAGATAGGAGAATTTATTTCTCGGTATAGTAAGTATTTGGACAAACCGGTACAAACGGGGGAGTGCCAAGAAATCTAAATAGTTAACTCTTGTTCCCAAGAAGTTGGGCGGTTGTTGTAATCAAGGTGCTGTTGGCGTTGGCGCTGTCTGCTAAGACCTAAGGGTCTTGTCACTCAATGCATGCACGTGATCTGCAAGGCCAACCCTAGCCCCCAGACGTGTCTGTGCTCCTTGAATCCTGGTCAAAGCTTCACCTTCACCCAGCTCAAGCTCTGTCCGTTGCTGCAAAGGAATTCCCCATTCGATATATCTTGCTGGTCATCAATTTTTCATCCATTACCTCAATTGTTATATCATACCTCCATAATGACATCAAAAGTCAGTCGTATCACCATGGGGGCCATCAGCAAATTATCAACTAAAAGAGCTGACCCCCCAAAAAGCTTCCTCGCCAGTCTAACACCTGTAGCCCCAACAAACGGAGCTTCAACCGCAGCCATCAACTTATCTTCAACAAGCAACAATAAAAATAATTCCGCTCCTGCTGCTGCTGCTGAGGGAGGTACAAGAAGTGGTGCCAACTCAGAAGAAGATCAATGCCAAGAAGTTGTTGCTACTCAAGTTGGAGCTGACTCGGGGCCCAACGGACCTCCTCCGAAGACCCTAACTATCCCCACCGCCACCAACCGGCTGATAAGCTTTTACACACACCCCAATGGCGGCACTGACTCGGAGGACCGCACTCTATCTGAGATCCTTCGCTTTCCTGACCGCGATCTAGAGTACCACCACGACTACATCCAATGGCTCTTCCCGCTACCCGAAGCCTCCCCCTTCAACAGAAGCGCCCCACGCATCGACAGACACACTGCAGAGGCTTTCCGGACACGCCCCGAGCTCCGTGGGCGAATGCGGGAGAGTCTGGTGCGCATGTTGGAATTCTATGGGTTTGAGGCGATCACCACCGCCGCCTGCGGGTTCGAGATCAGGGAAGCGTCAGAAATCAACTTTCAGCGTAGAGCGAGGTTCTGGTTGTGCCGCTTCGACCATAATCATCTCAGAATTACGAGGATCATCAGGTGTCTCAGAGTGCTCGGGCTGGAGCATGAAGCGCGGGAGTTTCATAAGGTGCTGGTTAGGGCTGCGACACCGGAGCCAGGGGGTAGAACTTTGGTGGGGCAGAATACTCTGAAGTTCTGGAAAAGAGCTGCGATGAGGCCATTAGAGGTGGAACCTGCTGATGAGGAATTCGATGATGAGGAGTATGAGAGAAATGGCGGCGGTGGCGGCGAGGAAGCTAATAATAATGGTGCAGAAGACGTGGAGGATAATTCTGGGTTCAGAAATAAGTGAGTACGACATATCAGTAGTCTGGTTTATGATTACTTTGCTCTAGATCTTAGAATAGAGTGTTTGCTTTTTTCCGCCTGTCTCAATCACAGCTGAATACATTAAACCGACGGGACGGAGTTTCTTTATTTTAAGCCTTAGTGAGACATGCATACATTGATTTATGCAGTTCATCTTCCGGAATTGGCGGCATGTAAAATGAAGGTTCTGTCCGTATTTGGAATTGAAATCATAGGATATCACTCGCGTCACTAATGCACCGAGTGAGAATGGCACATGTAGTCAGCGGCACTTTTGCACTTGTAGACTGTTTAAGACCTTGGTTCTTTCCTTTGTTTATATATACCGAGCATCCGGACCGACTTCTGGTGGAACCCATATTTTCTTATCCCTCCTGCATCTTGGTAGCTGGTAGTCCGTCCTGCTAAAGCAGAGCTCGAGGCACGCACGAGAAGTTTTAGACGCAGAGCTTCCCATCGCTAGATCTAGAGCCTCCGGACCCCTCGCTACCGCCTCATGCTCTAACTACTCCACGCCCTAGAAGATCTCAGATCTAGATGCATGTGCTGCTCCCTCGCACGACGTGGCTATCCTTCCTTCCTACCAGTGCAAAACATGTACACAGAACTGCATGTAATTGCGTATAGACTTAACCCAGTGTGTTGGACTATCTCCGGGGAGAGATGAGAAAAAAAGGCAGCAAGCCCGTGAGCACTTATATGCTTCAGGGCCCAGCAAGGTGGAAGATCCTCGACGTCCTTTCTCTCACTAGGTACCCGTCTCGCTTGCGATACGACTAGTGGCCCTTTTAGAATGTGGGGGTCTATGAGACTGAGCCTAGATGCTTCCCCCACGGGTGAAATTCACCATATGCATTGATCGAATTGCGGAACCCGGGGATCATGAAAGCCCATGTACCCCTTTTTCTCCGGCATTACGGCAGTGACAAGTTCAGACATCTGAAGATCCGTGGAGGCACGAGGGCCCCAGTGGTCTTTTTTTTTTTTTTTTTTTGGTTATTGAAACTCAAGACTTTGGACCAGAGGCTAATGTTTCGGACCGGGCCGGTGGTGGGAGTGTACCATGAGGGGCCGTGCTATTCCTAGTTCTGTTTCTGAGTCGTTTGAGCCATGTCATGTTGGACGATACGTTTAAGATAGCTTGGCTCATGGGGGACTAAGGCTTTCATAGCCGCCCGAGCTATTGATACGAGTACTGGTGGGGGTAGTGTGAACTACAAAGACAGGTCAATTATCGGGAGCACAAGATATTCTTTTGCCAAATGCAGTGTGTAAGGAAGGAGATCGAATAACAGCTATGAGGTTCTCTGCTGGCTTGGGCTTCGCCATATAACACAGCCCACATTACTCACTTCTTCCTACAATAATATGCATCTTTAGTTTCAAGCTGGCTCCGTGTAGTGGATGGTAGGGACCACTCCGAGTGAATTCAAGGGTTAAGTGGGTTTGGTCGGCCCATGAGACCCATTCCTTGAGAGATTTCCCTTCAATATGATAGTTGGTTTAGCTCAGTAGGCAATTCGCGTTACTGTACGTGAGATGTCTACGGTTTAGCAAGGAGGACAGGACGAGAAGTGAGGAGACTTTGTTGATATGTTTGTAGTAATCACAGCATACGATGTGCTGCCCTACGGGTATATAAACTACATATGTATATGATGTACGCATCTGGAAAGTCCTGAAAGTAAACTCCACTTCTCCAGGCAATTTATGGGGGTTGGGGTCTGTAGCGGCTGGAAAAAGGGACTTCAGATATGTACGTACCGGCATGTATCAAATTCTTATCAGAGATAGGAGCTAGGTCCTTCTGTTTATGCTAAAGCCCATGTATAGAAAGTTCCGCAAACCCGGTTGTCTAACCTCACTGATTGATACGGTGCAGAGTACACCCTTCATAAATACACAGTATATTAATACATTTTTTTTTGTTTAATTCATTGATTGCATGCTACACTTTTTCTTAATTCATAATGGTAATTAGCAAAGCTATTTTATATGTGCGTATACTAGTACATGTATAGCACTAGTGGCCTGAATACACTACTACTTGTAGTAGTAGTCTGGGGCTGGATAAAGAGCTACGAAATTAAATATTGTAAGCATGGGCGTGCGTCATATATAATCACTCGTACCCAGCCTTTCGTCACCCCGGACCCTCGTCACTCCCGGAAGATCTGGCTTCACTGCGACCCAAGACCCTAATTATACATGTATGTAGTATCAGAGTATTGGCGGTCTGGCCAAAGCTCTGGCCCAAGCCCGTCACAGGTCGGATAGCCCAAAGAAAAATTCCTACCCTTGTCGACCACACATAATGAGTACATTCCCTCCCTAACTCCGGCACAGAAAGTACATGTAGGCCATGGGGCCATTGAATTAGCCACATGCCAGCATCTACCATTGTAGCTTAATAGCTATGGTGTCGCCCAGAGGGGCCGAGGGTTAACTTGCATCATCAGTGGTAGTTCGAGTCCCTCCCAGGCTTGGTTGAGAGACTGTGTGACTGGGTAAAAAGAGGTTGAAGCAAAAGCGCTCCCCCTTTTTCTACGCTGGGGCTTTATGTCTCTTTTAATATAGGGCTATTACTTGTATCTGCTTGTGTGTTGATGGTTGAGCATGGACTAGTTTGACGTCTTTGGTCTTGTACTGCTTATTTGGTCGTTGAGTTGATATTTGGAGCTCCGGAAACATCGGAGCTATAAGAGTAACGTGCTGTAATCTAAGTTCATATTGTAAATTTGCCATGTCGTTGAAGATGGACCCCATCTTATCAAATTTCTGCTTCTCCGAGCAGATCTACTGGCAGATATATTTAGATAGCACACGAACACAAGGAACACATCTCATTCCCACAAAGAGAGCTGGAAAAAAAAGTCATTTGCATTTTATATATACACCCTACCCAAAGAAAGAAAAACTACTTACACGAATTCCCCATCCTACCCGGAGGAGGCTGCGTCACAACGCATCACTCGGTGACTTTAAACAGCACCGCACCGCTCCCGGGCTTACTCACGACTACTGCACCCTCAATCTTCTCAGCGCTCATATCTGGGAACTTCTTTTCGTAGTACTCCTTCTTCCACGCCTCCTTCACCGCTTCAACTTTGTCCTGCGGCACCAGGTGTACGCTGCATCCGCCCCATCCTGCACCAGTCAGTCGTGACCCGTAAGAGCCCGCTTTCCTTGCTAGTGAGCAGAGCTCGTCGAGTTCGGGGCATGAGCAGTTGTAGAGGTCCCGGCAGCTGTCGTGCGACTCGTTCATGAGTGCGCCTAGCTGTGTCAAGATGGTGTCGGAGTTGGAGTTAGAGGATGAGGCAAGTAGCGCCTGGAAGCGGGTGACGCGGAGGGCTTCGGAGAAGACGTGAATGGCGCGGGAGCGCAGGTTGAAGCGTTCAGCGCGGATGGGGAAGCGGGTCATATAACGCCTTACCAGCTCGTCGACGTTCGTGTCCAGGATGGCGGCCATCTCCTCGCGTGTGTAGCCGTCTTCTTGGGTTAATGTGCTCTTTGTCAGGTCGATAAGGGCCTCGAGCTTCTGTTCGAGTGGGAGCGAGGCGGAAGAGGCGTAGTAAACATCCATCAATCCCTTGAGGGTGTTTCCGAGCGGGCCGGCGTCGGCGGGAAGTGCGCCGAGGTTGAGCTTCTTCGCAAGGATCTGGGCAGCGAGAGTGCACTCGACAACACGGAGGTTGTAATTGATAGGCCCCGTCGTGTGCTTGTCAGCTGTGACGAGGGTATCGGCGATGATGAATGTTAGCTCTGGGGAGGTGGTAGGGAAAGCAATTGGTTGTGCGGTGAGGGCGGGGTGGAAGCTGATATAGAGCGCAGATCCGGCCTGGCCAAGGACAGAGGCGGATTGATCCATTCTTTATACCGTTGTTAGTCTTCATGACCGAATAGCTAATGGATGCGCCTGGATAGCTACTCACCCTCCGGAATTGACACCCACGTATCGTTCCGCGACAACCGCAAGGTTCACAAGGTCCTTTTGGTTCACAATCTTCTCTCCCATTGCAACTAGCGATGCAAGCGCACTCGCACACGTGAAGGCTGCACTACTACTGAGACCAGCGCCGGAGGGGACAGTGCCGTCGGCGAGTATCTCCATACCGACCTGTCTGGTAGTTCCATCCCTCTTCTGGAGGAGCTCTATTGCGCCGCGGAGTCCAGATTTGAAGTAGTTGCTCCATTCATGCTGTGTGGCATCAATCTCGAGATCGCCCGTGGTCGGGATTGTGAACTCTCTGGTGGGGAACTTTGGCAGAACGTTTGCGAGCTTGACTGTAGAGCTTCCGGGTACCAGGCGGACGGCGAGAAGGAAATCAGCCGTGACGGCCATGGGGATCACGGAGTAGAGCATGTAGTCGATGTGCTATACGCCACCATCATAGCTTCAGTTTCAGGTATGAAGTGAGACTCAGTGGGGAAGTATTTGTTAGACTAACCTCTCCGATGATATTGACTCGACCGGGACTCCGAGAGATGTAGTCAGCAGGGGCGCCATAGAGCTCTTGGAACTTTGCGAGGAGGTGTTCCCAGCGCTGTTTTTGAGACTCTTGGAGAGCTTCTGGGTAGATTTCTGCTACTGAGAGCACTTGGGGGACGTTTTCACTCATAGTTAAGGCCTGTGTGGTGGTGATGGTGTTTTGTTTCTGATGATCTTCTCTTCTGTGCCTGCTTTACATGGCGGTCTTGGGACTGGGGTTGCAGCTTTATGTCATGTGGGGTGCGGGGCCCGAAAGCGGGGGAGCGTTTTCCAAAGGATAATTGGGGATAAGTTGTGGGTTTACCTGGCCGGGGGGTTCGGATAAATTCTCGAGGGCTCAACCGGCCGGAGTTCCGGTGCAGGTATTTCAGTGGTTGCTAAATACTTGTGCGTAGGGTGTTTCGACAAGAGGAAACGAATCGGTTTATTCGAATGGATCCGACAAGGAGGAAGAAGATGGGGATGAAGTGGATGAAGAGGATGAGAGGGAGGGGGAGGGAATCCCGGTTTATCCTCTAGCTAGCTTGGTTTCTGCCACCGTCACCATAGTTTCAATTGAATCCAACGAAGTAAAGACAAGATATGTCGACTATTTTTATTGACGTTGAGGGTAGCAGGCTATCATCTGCATCTCCTACAGCAATCCGGGACGTCTTTGGGCTCGCTTCTCCGTGGATGAACACCAGTATTACTACATTGCCATTTGGAATAATTATAAAGTAGCCTGAGGGATTGGATAATGTGGAAATAATGTTTATGCGGGAAATTTGGTGGTAATGATTTTTCCTACTAATTATCAATCAATCGATTGACCCAGTCGCCCAATTGAGCCGGTATAGCAGAGATAATAATAAGCTTCCAAGTAATGTTTAAGCACCTGCAGGTTCACCAATCAATGGGGCTTGCTCAATATTAGTAGCCAGCACTGCGACCTATCACATCCAGTAGATGTCCTCTTGGGTCCCAGTACTACAGATCATATCTCATGCCAGCCGTTCAGAGTAGAGACGACTGGCGGTACAGTGGGGTAGAGTACATGTAGCTAGTCCACTCTAGCTACGCGCTGCCTTCTAGTCCCCAGAAAAAACAAATATCCCTGGTGTATATTTGTACCCCCATCACGTTAGTAATTTGCTCATTTGGGATTATTATATGCGCCGAAACCCCATCCCTCAGTCCGCAAATGGAGAGGCTTGTCCGAACTCTTGGCCCTCTCTCGTTGTCAATGATCGATGTCAGCCCGATAGCGATAAGCCCCACGAACCTGAAAGATTTTTGCCATGACTCACCAAGCTCTCATAAATCCCATCACAGTCTCAATTCCACGACCAATTCTTCTCCAAGACCTACAGTATACTTAAAATGACCGCTAGCACCTCCCCCTTCAACCTCGAGACTTGTGCTCGCCCCAATATCCTCAAACTTGTCCCATACCGATGTGCGCGCGAGTAAGCTCCCTCACCCCGCAATACTACCCCCACAAGAAAGAGAAGAAAAACTAGTTAACCAGGCTCAATTGGTAGCGACTACAAAGATGATGGCACCAATATTCTCCTTGACGCAAACGAGAATGCCTACGGCCCTTCACTCCCCTTGACTGCTTCCTCGACCGCCGAAACCGCCGGTCTCAACCGCTACCCCGACCCGCACCAACATGTCCTCAAGAGCGCCTTCTGCGCCCTTCGCAACACTAATCCCACCAAGCCTCTAACCCCCGAGAATCTTTTCCTCGGTGTCGGGAGTGACGAAGCAATTGATGCCCTCCTCCGATGCTTCTGCACCCCCGGAAAGGACAAGATCCTTACCTGCCCGCCCACCTACGGCATGTACTCTGTCTCCGCGCAGGTCAATGACATTGAGGTCGTTAAGGTTGATCTCAACCTCGAGAGCGGTAACCTCGAGCTCCGCCCCGACTCTATCAACGAGGCCTTGTCGCAGGACGCCAATATCAAGGTTGCCTACATCTGCTCCCCCGGTAACCCTACCGGTGCATTGGTGGATCCCGAGGCAGTGAAGAAAGTCCTTGCACACCCAACGTGGAACGGTGTTGTGGTGGTGGATGAGGCATATGTAGACTTTGCGCCAGAAGGGAGCTCACTTGCACCCTGGGTCGTAGACTACCCCAATCTGGTCGTCATGCAGACCCTCAGTAAGGCGTTTGGGCTGGCCGGCATTAGACTCGGAGCGGCCTTCACATCGCCGCCAATCGCGCAGCTGTTGAACAACTTGAAGGCGCCATACAGCATCTCGACACCTACGTCGTCACTTGCATACACAGCGCTCTCGGAGGCAGGGCTTGTGATCAAGAGCGAGAATGTTGCCAAGATCCTCTCACAGAGGGCCCGTCTCCTCCAGGAGCTGCCTAACGTTCCAGGAATCGGGAGATTTCTCGGAGGATTCGATGCTAACTTTATCTTGGTGGAGATACTGGATAGGCCGGGCGGCAAGCCGTCTAATACTGTTGCGTTGGCGGCGTATAAAGGGCTTGCGGAGACCCGTGGGGTTGTTGTGAGGTTCCGGGGCGGCGAGAATGGATGCTTTGGATGCCTCAGAATGACCGTGGGTACAGAGGATGAGAATGGAAGGCTGCTGGAGAGATTGAGGGAGATTTTGGGGGGCATCTATTCAGCGAGTGCGTAAGCTTTCGGGTTTATATTGTTTATTTTTGCTGCTTCTAGAGTAGACTAGATAAAATATACCATATGTTTCTATTTCAAGACACCATATAAACCTAAGTGATTACATGGGTCAGCCACAGCCCCCCCGTCGTTACAGCGGGTTTCATAATACTAGGCTGAGAAAGCATTCTCGACTCATAGTACAATTCTCGAAAGATAGCCTATATAGTCTATCTGGGTAGTTGAAATTACTTTTTCGGGAGAATATCGGGCTCGGGCTTCCTAAGTAGGCTATTTTTTTTAAGGTTCGAAGAATCGCACTGTATGTGTGTGAAAGTAATTTGAGCCTAGTATTCTGAAACCTGCTGTAATATGCGGAGTAATACACTTACGTTCAGACTTTAAGATTGCAATGTACTCAGTGGGGAAAAGCGCAATATAAGGTCAGTTGAAGTCGAACTAAAGGTTTGAGATCGACGCCATCGCTCTTATTGACAGGGGATTGATGTTTCTATGATGGGGGGAGCCTAGATCCGGCCATCTCGTTTATCTTGTGACTTGGGGGAATCATATGGGGTGGTGTCAAGAAGGACTTCGGGGTCTTGTAGTGGGCAAGAACTAACAAACAGAAGATATAAAGAGAAAACCTTATTTTATACCCCAATAGAAACCACATATTTTTGCATGTTGGCTACTTCTCATTACACAAAGCCGCCATGTGATGTGAGACCCCCCGCTTCACAAACATGTGGTTGTGTTCCAGTAACTCATACCATAACTTATGGAATGTATTAGTGAAGAGGTACAAATACTCTACGGCATAGCAGCAGCTACATAGGGAGCTTCCGCATCCTCTATCTGTTCACCTCCTCATACTCACCGTCATCGATATCAGTCCATTTTCCACAAGCCAGAGCCCAGTCTTGGTCTTCTCGTTTTTATTATCCTTCCAAGCTCTTCAAAACGGATGGGCCATCTGCAGACTACTAAGAGAGAGAGAAAGGGGTGAGGTATGTGGAAGACAGGAGCTATTTCCTGGACTTCCGGAGGTCCCTGATAAGGGGCGATACAAAAGGCTGACCGCAATAGGAGCGCTGTACTAGCAGGTCTCCTCCAGCGTTTTCTCTATTTGGACCTGGTATTCGATTACGATTGAGGAGAAAGATCATGCCACCTGGGCGCAGTATTGCTTATTACATGTACTACAGTTCGTATCGCTAAGCTGAATAGGAAGAAATGCTAGTTAAAGAGAAACCTCCCCCCTACACCCTCCCTCTTAAAACACATTCTCTCGCACAAATAGCACAAAAAGAAATACCTTCTATTGTACCGCCATTTCACCTAAACAACAAAAGAATTGTACAATTAATTTCACAATCATAGCTGAAAACAAAGTTAAAGAAGCGAACGAGATGTGGAAGAATCGTGTGTATTCTAGCCGCCGCCGAGTTATTACTCGCAACCACCAACTTCTTCCATATCTATATGCCGCCATCGTCAGCCTCACAGTCACCGTCATCGTTCTCATAGGGATCGTTTGGCATACTCTCGGCGAGGATACTTGATGTGAGACCTAAAACATCACATCGGATTCTATTAGAGCCCGAGTATCTGCTTGGTGGAGAAGGCTGTGCTAGGGATTAGCTGCGTACCTGCGTGTGCTGAGGTCCCCTCGTAAGTTTGTCTCCGCCAGCCGCAGGGCTCAGCGGGATCCTTGATGAACTCCATCGTTGGGAACTTTTGAATAAAATCAGCAACGGCACCTTTCAGGTTTGGGGATTGATACTTACATAGTGTTCATTCTTCTTGATTGTGATGACGAACGGGATGTTGTCAAAAGTGATCACTCTTAATCTGAAATAGGTGTTATCGGGGATCTTTGAGACCTCCGCCAAAAACGCTGTCAAATCTTGCGTCTTAACTCCATTCACCGCAACAATGAAGTTGGTTGGTACTAGCTGGTATTGATATGCTGGGCTTCCTCTTGTGCGCGCGGAAACATAGATCTCTGAATGCAATGTGCTAATCTGCTGCCTAACTGCATGGTGTGGTCGGTGCAATACAGCACCACAGAAAATTACAGCACGGTCTGTCTCCAAGTCCTCAGTAGGCACAGTGGGAACTTTTAGGGTCATTTCTTCGCAATTCCGGACCACCACCATGTCCAAAAAGTCGTGATCGTACATGACATCCAGTTCTGTTATCCTTGTCATAACCTTCCCGTTGATGGTCAAGATCACGTCACCTTCTTCAAGAGTCTGTGAGTACCCGCACTCAACTTTGCGGACCATAAATAGCTGATGACGCTCTGGGTTATCCTCTTCGACTTTGCGAATCCATTCGTCGCTCACACCCATTATCCGAACTTGACTCATTTGTACGAGATGAAGCTCAACATTCAACATCCGCAGCTTGGGAATTACACCAGCCTGGAGCTGACGAATAACAGGTAGTAATGACGGGGTGGCTAATCCAAGGTGGTACTCAACGTCTTTGTTACTATGGGTCCGCTCACCGAGGTAGGTAAGCCATAAGGCCTGGACGGTACCGTCCTCGTCTGCAAGTACACCACTACCACACTGACCACTCAGAGAGGTATCTACCGTAATAGCATCGACATTGATAGCGCGGTATCGTGGGGCAGATGAGTTGGCGGGAACAGCGACGGTGGTGATGTCTGTGACTGAAGTCTTGGCAACCACAACTCTCAGGTTCTGATTAAAACCCAAGAAGATTGTGGGGGAACCTTGTTTGACGTGCTCAGTGCTTAGCTTTGCAGATTGCACAGGTGCATCTACAAGCTTCGGATCGTATTGCACCACAGCATAATTTTGCAATGGATGCATAAACAGAACTTTGCCAGGCACAATGATGGATTCGGCAACAGTGATTGAAATATCACACAAATCGTAGGGCACGACTGCCCTGGAAACTACAACGAGTCCTAGTCCAGCATCGACAACCAAACCAAATCCAGTTTTTCTAGCTCTTGGGAACCCATCGAGTTTAATGGGCATTGTGCATGATATCCGCACAAAGCTGCGAATCAAATCAGTTGCTGCTGAATAGCTCACATTATCTAATCGGATAAACTGGGCGGATCGAGGCACAAGGTCCACTGGGGGTAGAGGATCTCCGATGTCTGAGAAATCCCACAGTCCCGTAGAGTCTATATGGTAAAGGAATTAGCGATTGCACAACCATTCGGTTAACAAGTACTTACCATTTCGGATCGCCATTCTCATTTTCGTACTCCAGTGTCGGTCAATGTACAATATTGAAGTATGCATAGTGTGCAAATCACGGAGATGGCGATAAGTAACCACCACTCGGGCACGATCTGGGCGGTTTTAGCGTCAGTACTCCGACTATGGGGGTCCGAGGGAAAACATACCTGGTATACTCTTCATTATATCGATGAACGCACTAAGGTTGTAACATTTCTTGTTGCCTACTGACTCAATGATCCATCCTTTGTCCATTCCATCAAATCTGAACGAGCCAGCTGGTTCGCATACATACACCCCCTTTACGGCAATCGCATATAGCCTGGCCAATTGATATGAAAGGTCGTGGAAGGCAGCTCCACAAACAGTCACAAACCGATCCGGTGTAATGTCATGCAAGTTGCCAACCTCAATTTCGACTTCCATATCTTGTCCTCCGCGCTGGACTAATAACTTGACCTTCTGGCCCACGGAGCTATCCAAAATATTGTCCAACTGGACAAACTTGGTGATCAACTCTCCATTGAGCTTGATCAAGATATCACCTTCCTATATATATATCGGTATACGTCAGAAATTTTTGTTTCAACGAGAAATACTGGTCCGCGATGTTTCAATTGGATTTTAATTACTTCGATATGATTATGAGCAGGACCCTCTGGGAGAACAATTTCAGCGACTAACATGCCGATCTCCTTTGGAAATCCTTTTCTCACAGCAGCCTCCCACTCTGCCGTAAGCCCTACTCTCCGACATTCATCGAAAGGTTTCAATAACCACTGTGTTTGAATGGTTCCACGAGTGACTGGCTGGCCCGTTTGAATGCACCTGAGCGCTCGTAAAGGCCTGTCAAGGGGCAGGAAATAATCGGTTGCAGCTTCAGTGCTACCTCCAGCCTGTAGGGCAACAGCATAACCATCTACATTAACCACGGGACTGCCAGAACTTCCCCCGCTAGCAGAAGCTGCTGCTTGAATGTAGTTTGTGTCTAGTCGAGATATTAGATATAGGTGCAGTAATTATACGGATTTACTCACTGAAGTCGTTGTATCCATCCCCGTAATCTGGCGCATTTCTGTCTACTCTACTGATGACACCTGATAAAATACTGAGTTTCTCTCCAGCATCGTTACCAACAACTCTGATTTCCGCGCCAACATCTGTTGAAATATTAGCGTGGTTATTCACATGAAATTCTTCTTTCTATTTGTCTTACGCGCAAGATCTGGCCTCAGTTCTAGGGCGGCAACAGGCATGTACTTGATCGCCTTCGGGTCGAACCGCAAAATACCAAAATCATGGATAGGGTCGCGATACACTGGAAAGACGTCGCACTACACCCCCTCCACTGGTCTATTAGAAAAAATGGCGCTGCTATGAATTGTAGAGATTTGCGCAGCTTGCCTCTTCATGGTTGTCAAAAACGCAGTATCCCGAAAACGGACCCGAACAAACAACGTGTCGGTTTGTCAAGATGTAACCCTTTTCAGCATCCACAACAAATCCCGTAGCTTCGCTTGTGATAGCAGAGTCGGTGTCGAAGGAGCATGTCTGGCAGAACCGAATCGATACAACGTTGCGAACTACACTCTCGATGGTCCTCTGCCATTCTGCTGAATCATGCGTCGCAGCGGTTGGGGGTAGCATCCTGCTGGCTTCAACAATGAAACTACCATCCTCCCCCGGCATCATCTCGTCCTCATCGATCTCGAAAGACTCCTCTCGGAGATGCTTTGTTGGGCGATCTGGGGCTGGCGATCCACCGTGCTTCCGTTTCCCTGCGGACACACCGTTTGTTTCCATAGTTAATTACTGTAAAGGAAGCTAAGCTCGGCCAAAACAGTCCCCCTAAAGCTGTCTCGCGAGACCTGTAGAGGAAAGTGAGAGAAGGGATGGAAATGAAAGTCTCTCGTAGGTGAAGGGGAATGCGAGCGCGGCGCAAGAGCTTTTATACGTAAGGTGGCGTGAAGTTACAGCAGAAAAGACGGACGAATGTAGGGAGGAAGGGATAATATAGAGTTTGGATGGGAAGGCTTCTTTGAAGTAATTTTTTAGGAAGGATTTCTCATCTTGGGGGAACTGGGTCTAGGGTCCGGCGTCTCGGGGGGTGGAGAAGGTGCCGGGTAACTACAGGAATGTACCAGAGAAACCTCTCTCTCTCAGGGTTTCCTTTGCTGGGGAGGTTTTGTTTCCCGAGCATCTTCTGTTTGATTGACGTCTCTAGACCACCCTGCCTTTTCAACCTGACAATTCACCCACAAAACAGCACATGCTACGACCATCATTTCTTCATTCGGTCACTCTCCGGCTTTCCGCCGCCTTGAAATTATTATTGTTCCCCGCTTTTATCTCTTTTCCTATCCCTCTTGCTCACTTGGTGTTGCTGGCGATATGCTGCAGCTTTCTCTCGCACGCGTGGACAGCCCATGCCAGGTTGTTGCTGATGCAAGGCAGTCAGCCAGGCTATGTATGGTCAAGGATGGCAGCCTCGCGAAGCATCCTGAACATCACGTGCCATCCGACGCGCATAGCAACGTACCTTTGCGGTGTAGGTACAATGATCTCAACCACGGAATACAAAGAAACACTCCGTTACTACTATACAGGATCGGCACTCGGAATTCTAAACGAAATGTAGTACAAATTATAAAGAATTAATATTAATAATAGTTAACGGAGGACAAAAAACCCATATCTAATCCCAGTCATTAAGTGCTCAAAGTACTCATACTCCCAAAGAAATCCCGGTTGAAATTCTCGTCAACATCAAATGCCACGATTCTTCCATCACCAGCCTCACTTCTGTTGTACACATGAGGGAAAGTAATTTCGATTCTAATGTACGCGGGACTCGAGATCGCCCAGTTTCCAAGTGATCCAGGATCAACCAAGTATATTTTCGCGTGAAAACCGCATGCCATGAGCAGCTGGGTTATATAGTCGATAAACTGCCCGCTGAATGCGTACAAGTGCGGTGGGACGTCATCGCTAGATAGGAGTAATGATGCAGTGGGATCATAGGCGTATCTCGGGAGTAACGACGGTGTGTCTCGATTGATCTGAAGTTTTCGGAGTTCGTACTTGAGTTCTTTCATAATCTGGTGGGCTGTTGCGATAAGCCATGAGCGAGCATCCGCTTGCAAATTTTGATGACTCTCGTTATTGATGTGTTCAATTGCTTCTTCAAATCCTCGGCCGATGCCGGTGAGGTTCGGAAAGCTGTATTGTTCGTGAAGTGATTCGGCGGGCGCTCTTGATCTAGTAGACATTTCAGGGGTGGGATGCTGCACAGTCGTAACAGTAGTAGAGGGACCTTTGGGTGGGCGAGGAGTTGCACTTTATATAAATAAGGGATAGATATCAAATCTAGAACTTTCGTGATACCAAGTGTATTATGTAGTCGTACTTCTCCCCCTGAGACATCTGCTGACGCACTGACTCGGGTGAAACCAGCAAATGGTATGTGAGCCTGTGAAGCCACCTCCGGGTGACACCTAGACGAGCCGTGTCTTTGGATTTGTAGGCACTCAATGTGCTTTGCATTCTCCACAATGTGTTCCTCGCTCCCGGGCTTTGCGTGCACACTGGGCCGCACGAGGCCACTCACACGGTACTGTGGAAAACCGTGCCGCCTCCAATCAAGATATAAGACAATGATACGGTATCTAGTATGGATGTTCGTTGTTCTGTTATCAAAATGTCTCAGCCTCGTTACATACGGGTATCTTGTACCCAAACAGCAGTTTGGCCCTGTTGGTTTGACCGTCCAAGTATTTAGTGCTGCCTTGAGTCAACTAGATATAGATGTGGCGATGTGATGATCCTCGCCTATTTGTACCGGCGTACAGGCATGAACTGAACTATCAATGATATTCGAGTACAGTACACAAACCTTTGTGGTCCAATGATTTCAATACCCTGGAGTGAAGATGAGGTTGAAGCACCATATGCGCTTAGTCACTGTTGAGTCAGCATTGTAGGTAATATTGCTTGTGTTTGCGCATCTCGGGGTTTATGTCAAAAAAGGTATGGGGAAATTCAGGGTTCAGGGTTCAGAGCTATAGGTAAATGTTTGCATCTCCTTGAGGAGACACACATGCACATTGCCCCCCATTCAGTCAGTGCGCTGGAGTTTACTGAGAGTTTGACGGTAATCCTAGGCTCGGGATGCGGGAGAGTGATATGTTTGGCTCTGATGTGTGCGTATCTATTCCAATTGAATTTCGGCTGGTATGGTTCTGCAAGGTTTTAGTGAACTACTGGTACGGTATTTCATATATAGGTGCTCTACTTACTGGAGATCGAGTACATAGGGCATTTATAAGTGTAGTAACTCAAGCCCCAGAGAATGATGTCGATTGGTAAAGAAGAGCTGTCATCCCAATTCTGAGCCAATCTGAGTGGGGCCGTTGAGGTGAATTCATATGTCATCACTCGCTTATACACAGGCACTTACCCGGCCTTCTACTGCGTCACTAGCAGTTGCCCGGTACCCCGCATAAAAAAATATCTTGTTACGCCCGACCAATCCTATTTGACACTTTTTTTCAAAATGGCTTCCGAAAAGACAATTAACGACCCAATCCCAGAGGACGTTGAGTCCGAAAATGAGGAGGGATGGGAGGACGCAGAGCCTGACAACGAGGAGGAATCTCCTGTTGTTTGCTTGTTTTGCCCAAACACATTCCCGGCACCTAATAAATTGTTTGAACACTGCGGGGAGTCACATGGCTTTGATTTTGTGAAGACAAAGGAGGAACTTGGTATGGCTGATTCTTCTACACTTTGGGAGATACCAATTGCTGATTTACCTGTGTTGGATTAGAGCTGGACTTTTATGGAACAATCAAACTAGTCAACTACATCAGAAGCGAGACTAAGGCCTCGCGCGTTCCCGACTTCACTTCCAGGGCATTCCTGGATGATGATAAATTCCTTCAGCCAGTGTTGGAAGACGATACTCTCTTGTTCAGCCTAGACGACCCGGAGTTAGACTTGGGCACAGAAGAAAAAGGCGCAACTACTAATGCAGATAAGGTCAAGGAACTAGAACTTCGATTAGCAAGTCTCTCGCAGCAATTTTTGGAATACAAAAATGCCGTAAACAAGAGCTTCGAGGCACAACTTGCCGAGCCGGATAAGGACGAAGTAAAGCGGGATGACGACAGTCATTATTTCCACTCATATGCGGGTAACGACATCCATGAGACTATGTTGAAGGATACCGTCAGGACAGACGCATACAGAGATTTCATATATGAAAACAAACATCTGTTTAAAGATAAGGTATGATTCGTTTAGTGAAAGTCGTTGAATTATTGTTGATTACGAATAGGTTGTACTTGATGTCGGGTGCGGTACCGGCGTGCTTTCCATGTTTTGCGCCAAAGCTGGTGCGAAGAAGGTCATTGCTGTGGACAACTCAGCAATTATTGACAAAGCGAGGGAGAACGTCTTTGAGAACAGCCTTGATGGAATCATCACCTGTCTGCATGGAAAGATTGAAGAAGTTGTCTTGCCAGTAAAACAAGTGGACATCATTGTCTCTGAGTGGATGGTAATGATATTATTTCCGGAAAATATCCATGTGCTGATTCGAGTCCATAGGGATATCTTCTTCTATACGAAGCTATGTTGGATTCAGTCCTCTACGCCCGTGATAAATATCTTGCTCCAGATGGTCTTATGGTCCCCTCCGAGTGCAAGCTTTTAATCGCGGCAATGCACGACTCGGAATACATCAATGAGAACGTAAACTTCTGGAACCACGTTTACGGCTTCTCTATGTCAGCTATGAAGGAGAAAATCCGCGAGGACGTTATCGTTCACTCGCTCGAACCCAAATCCCTAGCATCTGAGCCAGTTGTGTTTTACAACCTCCCTCTTCACACCATCAAGACTTCTGAGCTGTCATTTACGAGCAAATTTTCTCTGAGTGTAAAGGATAATATCGAGAGCTTAGATGCGTTCGTCATCTACTTCGACACCTTCTTTACTACCTCGCGCGGAGAGTATATTCCCGAGAATGCTAGAGCAGAGACGTGGAAGGCGACCAAGGATAAGGGTGTTGCGTTCACTACTGGACCCTTCAAGACTCCTACGCACTGGAGACAGGGGGTTTTGTTGGTAGAGAACAAAAGCGGAATGTTGAAGTCTGGTGAGAATATCGAAGGGGAAATTACTTACAGGAAGAGCAACAAAAACTCTAGGGAGGTTGAAGTTGACATCTCATGGAAGACTGATGAGAAAAAGGACCAGCAGCTATGGTACATGAGGTAAAATGGTTCTTCTAAACAAGTAATTTCGGTTCATATGGCGTTCAAAAGTTTGGAACTTTAGGTAGACTCTAAATCAAAGGGTTAGATATGCGTTATTATTACATGTATATGCTTATAGTTACTTTATTTGAAAGCTGGAAACGAGGACCCTGAATTGATCTCCATGACAACGACAGGGACTAAAAGTCTATCAAGAACACCTCTATGCGTAGGTACTTTATCAAGTATCAGGCGTGTGCGGAGCCACACATGCTGGGGTTAGTTAGTAATTTGACCAATTGCGCAAGAGAAAACCATTTGTAAAAGAGATCTGGTGGGAGGGTGGGTATACAAGTATGCAAATACCATGTGGCGGCAGCAGTTGGCAGCTTTGTTTAAGACTAGACGCGAGAGCCAAGACGCGAGAAGTGGCTTGCTAGCGTGTTTTTGGACACAACAAAACAATCACTTTACCATCATCCCTTCCTCCCCCCACTCCATTGACAACAACACCTACGAACAGTCGCCGCTCGACATTAACGATCACGGCGCCACCCAATACCCAATTTCCCCCACACCAAGAATCAACTCTCCCCAACAGATTTCTTACCGTCGTGGAGTGAATTACCGGAGGGAGTAATCGAAGCATTTTAGCTTCCTTTTTTTTGTATCAACTGAGCGGTAGTCTTCGACATTGTCGGCAATATGGCAGGTCCTTCGACAGCAAAGCCTTCCGTTGGATCAGTTAGCTGGATCGCAAATGAGCGATCCACTGTTCAGCAGCTTGGGGATCAGGATATGGAGGATTTCGCGTTTGCAGCTCGAAATGATCTTGAGTGGTTGAATGAACATATGGCCGAGATTTTTGAGAGAAATAACCTGTATGCTGACATAAAACTTCCTTTGTCTCCTAATAGGCAAAACATTGATCGCTAATGCCGTTTCTTGTGCTTAGCGATGTGGCCGAGCTTCTAAAGACACCAGGAAAACTACGTGGTCAGAAAACTCCTAGGACCGGGCGGAAACAAGTGCGTCCAGTGGCGCCAGGACGTGAGGTCTGTATTTGCGATTTCCAACCTCCCTGCCACTGGTGGTTGATTTATGTGATTAACACATGGGCTGCAGCCTCTTGCTAACATTTTCGACTTCTAGCAGCCGGCCAATGAGAACCCAAGCGACAATCCATTCTACACCGTTGCTCCACTACCGGGTAAGAGACAAACTTCGCCAGCTCGTGGCTCATCAAAATCGCCTTCTCGGTCATTACGAGTATTACAAGATATAAAAGTGAAGAAGCCCACCAACCCTATCAAGGATAACTCTGTCGGCCTGAAACAGCCAGAAAGTCAGCCAAGTCTCACTGACAGCGGTGTATGGAGCGACTTTCAATCACAGCCACAACAAACTGGATTGGTATCAGAGTATAATTCGTTTGTCTCGGAGCCTGCCATTGATAGCCGAGCAGGGGATCGAAGTTCAAGCTACCATATTGCTCCCGAGGAGCCGGATGAGAGGGAGCAGGAAGATGAAGAGCAGGAGCAGGAGGATGGAGAGCCCGTGGAGGAGGTGGTGGAGGTGGAGCCGGAGAAGCCGGAGGATAATGATTTAGAACCACCAAAGCCAGAATCACCTGGACATACCATAAAGGTCGCTTCACCAGGAATAATTGCTTTGGAAAAAACAGTCTCTTCAGAGGGATCTCCTGTAAAACTTGTTTCTTTACTAAAGAAAGCGGCCAATAAAAGCGAACCTGAACCTCGAAGGTCAGGTCGCCTTGCTCGACGCTCCTCACCTCCACCCGCAACCGTCGAAGCGCAACCGGATCGCCTGAATTCATCTTTGCCACCATCATCGCCCAACATACCCCAACAGGGGACATTGGTAGAAATAAGTGAGAAAATATCTACATTACCGATTGAACAATCGCCCATTCCTCCGCTAGCTGCTGCTGAGCCAGCAAGACCTCAGACCCCCTCCCCCGAAAAAACCGCCGAATCAGCAAAGAACTCGCCAGCTGCTCCTCAAACACCGGGGGATGAGGACTCCCCACGTTCTAGTTCATCATCTGAATCACCAGCGCCTGAAATCCCTATAGCCCGGAAGAGTATACTTAACTTTGCGTCTCTTCCAGCTAGAGAACCATTGACAAATAAAAAGAAGAGCTTGGGGGTCAAACACACGCGCGATAGCAACGTAGAACAAGTTCGTCTTAATGGTACAAGCCGAGCCAGCTGGATGAACCGTAAAGGAAATGGTAAGAGTTTGGGGGCTTCAAGTAGACAAATCGAGCGGATCGAAAAGGCAGATAAAGAGGCTGAAGAAGTGGGGATGAAAGACGCTGAGGAGGAGGAGATTATCCTGAAGCCAGACGCATCAAACAATCTAAAACGAAAGACCGAGACTGTTCGCGATGGGTCACGAAAGAAGTCAAAGGGTACTTCTGAGGAATCGGAATTGGAAGGCGACGAGTCAGACGGTGAGACAGCAAAGGCCGTAGCTTTACATAATAAGACATCGACACAAAGGCTCCACGACAAAATTCAACAACTTGGAAAAGTCAATGCATCTCGGGAAGCTCGTTCTTTCCCCTCATCGGGTTCGGGTGTTGCATATCCCGAGTTACCACAGCTGGAGAAAGAGCCAGTACAAGCTGTACCAGCTTCGAAAAGTGCAGAAAGCGAGGAAGGTCAACCTTCTGTTGCGGCTATTGACCAGACAAGTGTCACCCAAGATGATGAAGAATGGATTCCGATGCCTAAACAGACGTTGACGAGAAGCCAAAGTCAGAAAGAAGAAGTCGCTGCTAAAGAGCAGACCTTGGCTAGAAGTCAAAGCCATACAGAGGGCACAGTCGCATCTAAACAACAAGAGACTGAGAAGCCAGTATCTGCAAGATGGAGGCATCACTCGCCCCAGAACACATCCCCTCAACCCACCATTCGGACAATAACCACTAGTGAGAGTGCACCTAATCTGAGATCACCAGCAGCAGTCAGACAACTACCTCTCTCACCGCTCAAGGCATCATTCTCTGAGGACTGGATAAAATCTCCCGCTTCACCAACAGCTAAACCATCTGGCGAAGGTGCAATCACAGCTGTTAAGGCACACACTTCGGTTGTCTTTAAGAAAGCGAAGGAGATGCTGCTCAAAAGCTCGACAGCCAGTACCTCTGCTAAGATCGAGACTATGAATCCCGCATCGCGGGGCTGGCAAGGGGGGCAGAATTCGCGGGAACAGCTCAAAAGTGTTGACTCGCAAAAATCCGCTAAACCGATGGAACAGCTCTATCCTGATCTAGGAATAATGATGGCCAAGGATATGGATAGTCCTTCCTCTACTAAAACTCCAGTAACCGAAACTCTGAAGGAAACACGCCAAATGAGCATTGATGTACCAGAAGCAGTTGTAGAGCCTAATAGAGAGCCACGTCGTACTAGGAGCTCGGCATCCAAGGATACTCCTGAAAACAGTCCTGAGGTCGAGCAAACTGCTGTCAAAATTCAGAAGGCTAGGGCGGAGAGAGAGTCCGAGAGGTTAGAGAGAGAGGAAAGGCTTCGCGAGAAGGAAGAACAGCTACGACGGGTTGAGGAGGAGTTGCGCAGGGAAAGAGAGGAGAGGGAGTTGGAACATAGACAACAGGAAGAGAAGCTTAGGAAGCAACGTGAGGAAAGTTTACGGCTGGCCGAAGAGAAGTTGCGTAAAGAACAGGAATTACAACAAAAACATAAAGAGGAGCAGATACGCAGGGAAAAGGAGGAGTTCAAGAAGCTTCAAGAAGAAAAATTGAAGCAGGAGAAGGAGGAACTTAGGAGACGACAACAAGAAGAACTAAGGAAACAGAAAGAGGAGGCCCAAAAGGCGAAGGAAGTCCCAGCTAGTTTTCACGACCAAGATGACTCCACGGATAAAGAGGAAGATGAAGATAATGAGGATGATAATGCTTCGGAGGCTGATACCCGCACGATGATCAGGTCATCTGCCGAGCCAGAACGTCCCCCATCTCGTCTCCAAAAAGCAGGAACCATTCGATTCCAAAAAACAAGAGATACCAAACCTGTACAGCGTCCTGGGTCAGCAATGAAGGATCATGCAAAATCAAAGGGCCCGCCTGTTTCTATAAGCGTGGGCACTGCAAGTCAGAGGGAGATGCAGAATCAACGAAACAAACCGCAGGCGCCTTCAACTTCGACACTGGTGGCCGCACTCAAACAAAGCTTCGAGAATCCGTCTCTAATGACTAGTACAAGTCAAACCAGCTTAAATTCGTCTACATCCAACAACAGCTTAAGGTCTTCCAACCTAGGAGGGCCGTCCAAGCCGCTTAAGTCATTGGCAGCGGCGGCCAGCCAGCTGAAGAAGGTATGGCCATTTCTTATATTGTTTGTGATGACTATCGTGCTAATGTATTACGTACAGGAGCAAGAGGACAAGGAACGTAAACTGGTCGCGAAGCGAGAAATCGAACGTCGTAAGCTGGAAAACCAGAGGAAGATGGATGATGAAGCACGCAGGGCAAGACAAAAGCCAGTATCTACCCAAAAGACGCTGGCTCGGACTCCTGCTGTGGCAAATGTATGCTCTAAGTTACCTATTAATATAACTGTTGCAATCTGCTGACCGTTTATAGCTTCGTCAAACATCTGAAGAACCGGAGAGAAGATTGGATTTCAAGACTGGGGCTAAGCCCGGTCTTGCTAAGACCGCTGTAAAACGTGCCTTCCAGCCAGATGCTGCCGAGGAACAGCAGCAATACAGGCAAACAGCTACTAAATCTGGGGCTCCATCGTACCAACAAGATCCTGCGAAGAAACGAAGAACTGGGGAATACGATGAGCGTGGAGAACGTACATATGAGATGGCACCGCCCATCCGCCAATCAGTCGCCAAAAAGGTAAAAGAAGTGCTTATCTCCGGGGAAGACAAAACACAGCTAATATGGAAAAGGAAATTGTGCCAAAGAGTGCAATGCCTCATGGATATACACAGGCATCAGCATCTGGGATGCCATCAATGTTGAGGCCACCTACCAAGCACGGAGTTCCAATGCCTCAGGTTGAGAGTGTTAAATTCTCAAAGGAAAAGATACGGTTTGCGGGTGAATCTTCTACTGCTAGCGCATCTACCACGCCATCCACTTTTAAAACACCTGGATCCAAATCTGCCAAACCAAGCAAGACCCCAGCTGGCGCCAAGGACTCACCAATATACCAGAATGGGGAGCTTATTGATTTGCCTGACATTCAAACTGATTCTGATGATGACGACGATGACTACCCGGCAAAGAGCGATTTCCACGTACCCAAATGGGCCGAATCTCCGGAGCTTCGCGGGTTGTTGGAGAACCAGCAGAGCATCAACCCCGAAGATGTTTTCGGCCCCATGGCCAGACTAGATATGGATGCCATCTTCAGGGATGGGGGCGGAAGGCAGAAGTTCCGAGCAAGGACTTCATCAGCGAACTGGTCGGGTGCGGATAGACTCACTCCGGATGAAATTGCGGCGGATATGGAGGCGAGGAGGAAGATGATTGAGCAGGGTGGCTGGAAATTCCAGCCGCCTCAGTAAAGCAATCATTACGGTCTCTTTGCTGTACGGGTTTTTGTTTTTTGTTTTTTAAAGCCGAATTTTGATTTTATATGTGGGATTTGTTCAAGGAGTTTTTTTCTTTAGCTTTTATCTGCTTTGGGTTTTCTTTTTGTAAACCTTATTCTTCTTCTTTCTTCTAGTTATTGGGGTGCAGGGTAAATGCAAAACGGCCGGGATTGGCTTTATGGTATAACAAAAAAAAAAAGAAAAACGGGGATGATGCATCGTTTATCAACAACTGCTTTATCTTTGTGGTTTATTTTCTCTCTTTTTTTTCGGGGCTCTACATGTGTAGTAAGTATTAGTAGTAATCGTGCTACGGGGGTGTTTTTCCTTTTTTTTTCTTTTCATCTTGTTGTTTAAGTTACAATAGTTTTGTACCAATACTTTACTGGCCATCTCATCTTCTCTCTTCTCAATGGTCATGGGGCGGGCAGCTGTGTATTATATGCGTTGATTCTCTACTATGTTTTGCCGTCTCCCCCCATTTTGGTGCTTGTTTTGGGTGTACATGTAGTTGCGGCGTGTATGGGTTCTTGAGCGCCGATTAAGTGTTTAGTTCTGAGGTCACCATTACAGTGCTTTTAGAATAATTGACGCATCATAAACTATGTTTACGGCTAGGCCTACATCAACAGTACTTCGAGGACATATACCTGAGGCTGGTCCGTTGACTTTGCGGCCCAGGGGTGCTTGTTAGTTACATACCCCCCATGTTAAGTTCGTATTGAAGTCATGGATTATCACTCGGTATGCAGTCCGCCCCATATTGGATATTTATTTTCGAATGATGTTCGAACATGTCATTTCCAAGCCTGACCGATCTGTGACCATCACTACTTTATTGGGTCTTGTTGGTTAAAGAATAAAGTCACTTAATATTGATATCTGGAAACCCATGCAATTTTATCTACCCATTACGCTCAATATACAAGAAAGAAAATCCATCATCATAAATCTTACACCCCCCCCCCCTTTCCCCCCTCCTCCCCCTTTCCCTACTATTTCGCAGGCGTTGGGTGCTTCTTTTTCCAGTCCTTCACAAACTCCTCCGTCCTCGCTCTCGGCACCAAATGCACCGTCAATATCTGGTCCACCACCACCACCTTCCCGCCACCCAGCGTCTCAAACAACGGCACCTTCTTGCCCACCTTGATCAGCCCGCCCGCCGCCGTCTCCATGTACGCGTCAACCTTACTCGCGGGAAAGTACTCTCGCGCCGAATCCCACGAACACGGCTCAGCGAGCACCATGGAGAGCTGTTCGGCGAGCGTGCTGTTCTCAGGAAACGCCTTGATGAAGTCCGACTGCAGCGCCAGCGGGTACAGGAACACTGTCGGAAAACACAGCGTCGACTTCGGGTCCGTCGGGTCCTCGAGGTGCAGTGTTGCGTCCTCAAGCTCTGGCGGCTGCGGCGTCACCTTGACGGGTATCTTTCTTGCTAGTAGTGCTACGCGCAGCGTCTGCGCTTCCCGCAGAGCCTTGTCCTCGCGCTCCTTCCGCAGGCGCTCAATCTCTGTGATGCGGTTCTGCTTCTTTGCAATCTCGGCCTGCAGCTGCAGCAGCGCCGCGTTCTCGGGCGCTGTCTCAAGCCCCGCGCTGATGCACTGCATCGCCTCTGGGAGCTTCTCGAGCGCGTAGAGCGCCTTCGCGCTGCGGTACCACGCTTTTGTGTTTGCGGGCGCCATCTGCAGCGCAAGCTTACAGTCCGTGATGCACCGTCTGTAGTTCTTGAGCTCCAGGTTGCACGCTGCGCGGTTGGTCAGGCACGCCGTCTCGATCTCAGCGACGCCGCACTTGACGGCGAGCGCCTTGGTGTAGAACTCGACGGCGTCGCGGTACTGCTTGACCTTGAAGTTGTCGTTGCCCTGGCTGCGGAAGTTCTGGGCGACCTCGTGCGGCTCGCCCTCGTAGGCGAGGGCCTTGAGCGCCTCGAGCTCGATGTTCTCGCCCGTGCCCTCGGCGTTGGTCTCGTCGAGCTCCGTCATGAAGAGGGGCATCTTGTTCATGGTCTTGAGGAATTCATCCGTGGTCATGTTTTTGACGCCGGCGATGGCGGCGGGGAGTTCGGGCGCCATGGAGCCGGGGGTGGAGGAGCCGTGGCCGTGGCGGGCGGCGGCCTGCGCGATGAGGTCGTTGAGGTCCAGGCCGGCGACCTGCTCGTTGATTGCTGCATCCGCGGCTTGATCTTCGATTTCTTCGATTAGGGCCATGGTGAAGTGTGGTAGTGATGGTGGTGGCGGTGGTTGGTGGAGTGAGTTTGGGTTTGGGATATTTTTTTGTGCTATGGCGGGGTGGTTGGTTGGTTGGTGGGGTGGCTGGGACCCTGCAACGCTTGGCGCAGGTTGATCATTGACAGTGGCATCTCTCGAGTTAAGTAGTTACCGGGCAGCGTGTCGGGCTGGTTCGCAATCTGTACCGGTGCTGATACCCCGAGAATTTCATTGGAAAGGAGATTTTATTTCCCCGGGCTATAGGTATAATACCAATGCACTATCAAAAGCAGGGGAAATATTGGTTCCCAGGCGCACGTGAAGGCGGGAGCGTGAGAACTTTATTGCGCAGTTAGGTATCGCAGAATTCTGATGCTGCGGTATTAATTTCGGGTTTTTTTTAGTACAAAGATACAAAGGTACCGGAGCATACATACTCCAAACTATACTCTGATTGGCGCGGAATGTTATTATGTAGCATTCACAAGCCTGTACACCTTTGACTGTGATAAGAAGCATCATATAGGTTAAATAAATAAGTACCGGCGTCTTGTGTGAGGGAGAGGTTCGATAAAGGGGAAGAACGTGGTAGAAAAATTCAATGTCTGCAGTGTGTAAGAACAGTGGTCCATCTCTCATTCTGTTAGAAAATACTTAAGGGCATACGTGTATCTTAATGCTATGCAGACCTCAGTATTATTGTAAGGTGGTCTTAGTAACATATGTGCGTTTAAATTACATGTAGAGAGCCTCTGGTCATCCTTCGTAACAGAATCATCCATCTTATTTTCTATCAAGTCTTCCTACAATTATCATCTGGAAGAATAACTCCTCGGTCTTGGTTGGTTATTGGTAAGTACATGTAGCCGACATGACTATGAAGTTGGTTCTGTGATATCTTCGGAAGGATGCGTCCCAAATGAGTATACATGCACGTCGCCTTTATTTGCAGGTACGCGGTATACAGTATATGTATATCAGGCCCTTGTGGTACTCCCTTTATCCTGAAGAAAATAAGACTTTCTAACTCATAGCGGACTGTTCTAGCTGTCGACACACTGTCTTACCAAGTGTCGTGAGGGGACGAGTTTGTACACAATGGTCCGATAATCTGGTTTGCAAGTGAGAGCTCCGGTAGCACATATGCATACTGCTCCCCAGTCAATAGAATGTAGTAGTATAGTAGTAGGTTCCAACAAAAACACTATTGGGTTCGTGCGTTGCGCTTGTGGTTTGCGAAACCTCATTTGGTGCCTGCCGTAAAGTACACAACCATCCGGAAGCCTACGTACACCCTTCCCGTGAGAGTCGTTTTGATAGACCGAAAAATTTGAATGGAGATGCAGTCTATTTTCGGCCAAGGTTGAATTTCCGTGGAGGATGGATTGGTTATCGCCCCCAGCTTGTGCTGCTGCAGCAGTACCTACATGTACTTACCTGCCCAGTTAAACTCTTCAGTTGATTAATTAGTTGTGGTTGGGGTTGCGTTTCCTGTGTCACAGCTTTGATTATCGATCCAGCGGTTAATGACGGCCATCCATGATCGGAGTTTAATCCAGGGCCTGTCAACGTCCTGCTGTTTGGAAATGCGCCCTATCGATTGGTTGGCACAATCGCCGGTGATGGCATCATTGGCTATACAAGCATCTGCCTGTCTCAGTCGAAGGCCCTGGAGGGGCTATTTCTAAGCATAGCTAAGGTAAAGTATACCGATCACTCCACATTTCAACTCCACAACCACATCAATCCTCTCGGTCTTCTTCATAACTACTCCACGTCTTTGACCTTCTAAGCATCTTAGTATCCGACCCTGGAAGTATTCTGATACCTCCAAGACCTCAATATCCGCCACCTACGTCGTTCGTGAGCCTGTTCCCAGGTACGTCGTGCACTCGCTCTACTGTCCGACTAAGCAGCCATTTAGCTAGCTACATAGCTAGCCTATCTACCTCCAAGCTTAGCTGTACTCGTTTCCCACAGAGCCCCCGGATCCCCCCCCCCCCCCCCTGCTGACAATCCGTATAAACACAACAGAACAAGTTAAAAACCCACAAGCTAAAACAAACAATCACCGAAATGAGTATATCTTGGCCCCTCCTCCTCCCCCCCTCACTCTCTACCTTTTCGGCCCCTCTTTCCCACCCCAGATCTAATGCTCTCCGTACCTGCGTAGCCTCCACCAACCCCCCCACCGACCCCCCGACCGACCGGTCCGCCGCGCCCATAACCGAACATGAGCCCTTGCTTGGGCGCCCCGGGGACGTGGCGCAAAGAGATGAAAGCATGCTAGCTAGGAATTTGATCACCGGTATGCATACCCAATTCTAAACAGCGGCGGGAGCTGGTTAAAACGACCTGGGTTAATTGACGAAACGGACCGTAGGCACTGCTCCCCTTGCCCAGGTCGGCGGCGTGATGGTATGTCTGACCCCAAACACCCTCTAATTATGGGCAGTGGAGAAAAAAAACGTGGGATGGTGCCGGATAGGTGGTTAACGATACTGGCTTTGTCCGCCCATGTATAGCTTGTCGTGACCGTATGGGGCGCGGTGCTCAGTCACTCATGGATGGTCTTCTCGCTACATCCACTTTTGAACTCTGTGAGTTTGCTCCACCCCACTCCACGCCACGCCACGCCACGCCACCCCCCGCCAACCAGGTTACCTACGGAAAACTCGAACGGAACTGACTGATTCTACCATCTCGCAGCTCGGCGTTTTCCTCTCCCTCCAGGCCATCCTGGTGCTTCAACCCACGCACACCGCGGACCAGAAACGCAGGGTTTGTCATCCATACCCCCAATCCCCCAATCCACCCCACACCGCTCAAGACTAATGGTAGTAACATACATATATAGGGTACATACGTCCATGCGGCCTTCAACGGCCTTGCCGCGTTGAGCTTCTTTACCGCGCTGGCCATCGTCATCTGGCACAAGCAGCATAGCGGAAGTATGTTTTAAACCACGTGTGAGAGAGAGAGAAGAGAAGCGAGCATCCTTAAGGCTAGCTAGGGCTTCTTACTGATGTAATCGGCGTGCTTTACTTTTTGCAGTCCCGCACTTTGAGTCGGTCCATGCCTACCTCGGAATCGTCATCTACAGCCTTCTCTTTATCCAGGGTAAGCAACTACATAAGCTAGATTATACTCCATGTATATAAAAAAGCTAAACCAACTAACCCTAACCCTGGATATATAGCATTTGTTGGATTCACGCAATACTTTGTGCCGCGCATCTATGGAGGCGTGGATAATGCAAGGGCAATCGTTAGTAATTACTAGTAAAACTTGGTGTGGGGGTAATGATAGAAGCTGACGATTTGTTAGTACAAGTACCATCGTGTCTCGGGATACATCATCCTGTTTTTGTATCTGGTCAACATCACCCTGGCGAGCAAATTGAGATATGGAGAGAAGTTCATCCATCTCAAGACGTGGGGCGTCGTGGTGGCGGGTGTGTTGGTCGTGATTGGTGAGTCTATATTCGCCGTTCTGTGCTGATATAATTTTTGAGGGGCGGCCTTCGTGGGGGGGCCCGGAGATGAGGAAATAGGCTAATTTGTTGTGGGTTCGGGTGGGGTGATAGGTACTTATCCAAGGATCAAGAAGCAGAAGATCCAGATCTTTGGGTAGATGATAGTGGTGGTGGTGGGGGCGTATTTTCAGGGACCTTTTTCTTTCTTTTGTTTTAGTGGACTTGGGGGGATGTTGTGGGTTGGGATGTAAGGCTGATCGAAGGAGATTAAACAGTCTTTTCATTAATTCGGGAGGGGGGGGGGGGCATTTGCTTTGCACTTTGTGCATGAATTTTTTCTATTTCGCCTTTTCTCGCCCAACTCTTTTTTTTTTGCTGGATTTTTTTTTTTTTTTTTTTTTGCTCTGATCTGATCTGTCATGCGCGTGATAATTCATGTCTGAGATTTCTTGTCTCTCTCTCTCTCTCCTTTTTTTTTTGCATGTCCCATTATGAAAAACGCAGTTCAGTTTCGCCTGTTGAGTAATTATCTCCTAAGCGGAGTGAAACAAAACGAAAAACAATGATCAATGCTCATCCAAAAGTCAGCGACCCGTCTTCTTGTATGTACCTGAGGTGATCTGATCCGATCTACTCTATCTGTACTCTATCTGCTCTGTCTTGCACCGGTAATCCTAAGCTTGGACTGCACATCCAAATCCCCACCCATTCCATGGGGCCATGGGCCGATTGCAACACATTCCAGAAGCTCGAGCACAGCCCAGAAACACTACGGGAAGCGGAACAAGGGAACCATTCGAGAAGACGCCGCCGCCGCCGGTCTAGAAGTATACACCGATGTGGATGCCTGTCTCACACACACTCATCTACTGTGGGGAAAAGCAAATTCCCGGCCCTGCGACCCGACGGATAGTCTCCGGTCGGCGTACGTCGTCGTGTCTGGTAGTGACACCCCTTTTGAAAACAAAAAAAAGTGGTGGGGTTCGGAAAGGGTCGCCGGGATGAGTGATCCACTGTGATGGACCGACCCCCCAACTCGCCTCACCTCGCTTCGCCTATGTCTTGGCTTGGGTGGCGGTGTTTCGGCCGGTCGGCCGCCTGTTTTGTCTTGCCTCGCGGTGAGGTGCGGTGCGTCAGGTTTTGGATGATGACTGATGGTCGGCCGGCCGGCCGGGTGGGTGGGTGAGTGGTTGTTGTTGGGTTTCCCGGGATGAAGGTGTTTATGTTTATGTTTATGGTGTAAGTGCCTCCGTGAATGGACGGCCAGATGGGTGCTCGTTCCAGGGATTGAGGTGTTACTCTTGAGTCTTGGATATTCTCGCCGAGAGACGGGTGCTTATTGGGCCCCGAGAGACAGAGCGTGACTGTTGCTGTTGCTTTGGCGTGACTGAGTGATAGTCGTATGCAGATTGATGGGTCATGGTGCATCACTCACTCGACGTGGTCACTCATCGAAGTGCATACCTACTGGTGCTTGGTGAGTGTTAGTAAGGTCTTGTATTCCACTTGTCGCCCCCGCGCGCAGACCTGAATGTGGTCCTTCCTCCGCCCGTCATAACATGTCAACCAGTCCGTTAATTAGTTAGTCAAATTTCAGTCAATCAGTCAACTACATGTAGTCAGTCAGTTATAAACAATGTTTATGTCGCTGTTGATGTCTCTGTTGGATGTATGTCTACCGCGCATGATTGGACACTACTGCTCTGACAGGCGCGCGGTAGTCAGTCACTGTTGGGGCGTATGTCGATCTGTTATGATGATGTTCACGAGGAACAACAAAAAGAACCTCCACCTTTGAGCTCCCTCCTCTCCTCTCCCGCAGTGGCTGGCTGGCTGGCTGGCACGCAATCCAGCCAGCCTACCGGAGATCTAATGACGATGATCGCCGGGTCGTCATGAGGACACCTTCGTATCTGCAATTGCGCGATGCACTCCTCGAGATACCATCGTGATCTCAATTGAAATTCCAGAGATGCAACGATAACAATAACAACAGCGACAGCGCCCTATCGTTCTTATCTAGACCCTCTAGCTGTGTAACACACTGGCGGTCTAGACTCTTGCACATCGTGGAGCGTAGAGGTATCTCGGGGTGATGGGTATACCGGAGTAGCAGTTTGGAGGAGGGGATTGGTCGTGCGGGGGATGGATCGTGATGCATGTCTTGGTGAGTGAGGGAGTGAGTGGGTGAGTGCATATGATATGGTGCTTCTCCTCAGCTACTAAAGTGAGGGACGTCGAAACAAAGTGTGGCTAGCTCCTCAAGCCTGTCACTGTCACTGTTGGAGGAGCTGTCACGATTGTTCGCTACACTACACGTTGTTGGCCGGCTGTTGTGTTCAGTCTCTTGTTTCTTTTCTTCTCAACGACGATTCGAGACGAAAATACGTAGAATGAATAAAACTTTTATTGAACGAACAGGATGATGATGTATGATCTACAGGAAGATAGCAAGCTAGTTATAAGGTCATACCGCTGCGGACACCTTTACAAAGGGATTGTCCACTTTTACACATTCTGTGCTGACTAATGCGTGACAAATCCCTTGACGACAAATGTGCCCAACAACGTGCAGTAGTCTTTTTTCTTCAGGACGCCTGTAATTTCGAGGGTGCATACAGATTCTGCTAGAGTAGTCTATTCTGGGAAGAAGATCGGGCTTGCGCTTACCAGAATTGTACATACAAGCAAAAAGTCCTCAGCTTCGAATTGAAGCCCATTCCGCGTGCGCCCCACCTTTTAATTGGCTCTTGGAGGCGAGTGTAATTTCAGAAGAGTGATGGGATATGCGCTGCGGTGACGGGAGGTACGCTGTGTGTATTAGAGGCTTGGGAGCGCCGACTGTGTACCGTACCTACATGAAGCCCACCACCACAAATGCCGTTGCGGCATTAGAGTTGAGGATGTGCAAGCCTCTACAGTCACTCACGGGGTGAAGGCGGATCCTGTCTAATGGCGGTCAGGGATTTGAGGCCAATAAAAGAGTTAGGTTTTGGACGCTAAGGGCAAATTACTGCAAACAGAACCATCAGGCAGGGTCCGCCGTCAGTAGGTGAGCGACTGTATCTACACTTTTAAACTCTGGCTGGCTTGGATAACGGTAGAGAACACCCAACCAATAAGAAACTCGAAAATACATATCCGACCAACCCAATGATCCCTCGCGGAATATAATTGATCCTCAACCTGCAACCTGCAACAAAAAAAGAAAAAAACTCACACAGGGCCAGGGATCTGGACCGGTATCCTTTTGAGACGGATATGATGCCGAACCCCTCTACAATACCGTGCCTCATAGCCGATGAAGTCGCCGAGGGGCCGACAGGCCGAGTTTTCCTTCTGACTTCCACATTTGCAGTCCATAGATAGACACGGCCCCTTAATCTCCTGCCTTGTCTTGATCATGACGTTTTGACGGTCTTCTTCCTGTAGGTACTAGGGTCGGAGAGTACTCTAGGAGGATATTGTAATTAGGGAGACGAAGGAAGGAGAGCAAACACGGTCAGTTTGCCATGTGGCACCCTGGACGCTGACAGTGCGCGATTCTACAGTTGGGGTAGATACGAATGTCTGTCCGTCTATCTGTAGCCTGTACCCACAGTCCATCCATCCATCTGTGTTCATACATGTAGAGAAGAGGAATAAGAAGGAAAAAAGAACTTGCAGTATTCACGGGAGACTCCGCATCCCCTGACTTAAAACTCGGGCGAGACTCAAGTCTGAGGCGTACAGTACAGTCGCACCTCGTTATGGTGGCGTTTTTTTCGCTCCTCTAGTTCCCCAAAACAGGTCGGGTTGGGGTCGGGGTCATGGGTGGTCACTCGGCCCCCATCCATCACGACCTCAGCTCAACCTTGAACCCTCAGCCCTGGCCCTCAGCATCAACTCTCACCCGGCCGGCCAGTCCACCCAACCGGGATCATGTGTATCACTTTTTCGCGATATTCTACCCCGGATACGCATCCCTCGCTTCCATTTCTTCCTTCCTTTCTTTTTTTTCTTTCTCTTCAACATGGTAGCGAGGTTCTGAGTCTCTGTCTTGGAAGCGGCGATTGCCGGCGGCGCGGCCTGTGCGGAGGGATTGTGGAAAATGCTTATGTGCATTTTTTATACCCGGGCTGCCCCGATGGAGGGGTTAATATAGTGAGAGGGTGGGTATAGGGTTTCAGTGCGCCATATGTAGCGACGGATTGGATTGGGAGGACTGGATTGGGGAGTGCTTGGTTAGATTGGGTCGGATGATGTATGTAGGATGGGATCGGGCTGGCTGGGCGACCACGAGGGCGCACGGGTGATGTCGTTAGGATTGTGTATATACTAGTATTTCGCTGACGTTTTTGAACTGGGCCATTATTGCATACACCCAAAACCATGAGCTTGGCGTATTTTTGTATGGCATGCAATACCAGTCGCGTCCACAAACATCAGAGAAATACGAGTATGTATGTATATATGTACAAGTAGTTTCCGGCCTTCGGCTGGTACTATATGTATATCAATCAGTCCAATATACAGGCAAGCCGCTTTGCGGCTTATTTGCCTGCCAGGAGGGGTCGAGGGCCGCACAGCGGCCTGAGAGCCCCGATTGACAGGCAAAGTCCATCACTATATCTAGATCTAATCTGGTCAATATGTGACTTTTCTGATATATTATCCCCATATATATATATCAACGGATAAGTCAGACAATTTCTCTAGTTAAAACTACACGTATATCCCTTTAACAGCTACCAAACCGCTAAAATCGAACCACTATCAATTCCCAGAACCAGTAGCAACCCTATTAACACTCTAATACCACTCAGCACAATACCCTCTGTTAATATCCAACACAACATGTTTCAAGTGAAACAAAAACATCTCTCAATGAACCAATCAGAAGACTATAAAAGCACATTACATATGCAGGTTATAATTATATACTTATTAGATGTAGATGGTGATCACGTAGTGTAGATAGAGATCAGATCAAGGAAGATGGTGATCACATTGGGTAGATAGAGATCAGATCAAGGAAGATGGGGAGGTATGTATAGAGGAAGGATGAATTGGTAGTCGAATAATGTATAGTGAAGTGGTCAAGTTAAGAGCGTTGGAAACATTAATCTGGGCAGCAAGTGGTTTGCTGCGCTCTCATAAATAGTATAGAAAGGCTGGC